AGGAAGAACCAAGCCTGTGAGTAAAGACACGCAGTTGCATCAGTTGCCCATGGCATCTCGCAACAATCTCTTGCCCGCTAGCTTTCAGCATCAGCATTCAGCAGCAATCCCTCGCTTTCTTCTTTCACCGTTAGTTGCAACTCGACAAGCACTTCAGCAAGTGTTTGGAAATGCTGGCGGTGCTACACAGCTACTCATGAAAGATGCTCACATGTTTACCAAGGTAATCCCTCCCATGGAGGTTACTTTCGGCCAATCCTTTTTTTCCGCGGTGGCAAGCAACATTCTGGGCTGCACCATTCTCAGTCGAGTTCTTTTCACATATATGTAAACAGAATGTGTGCAGAGCAGGAGTAGTTCGGCACCAATTTCTTGAAGGAAGACATGCAAGATCTACTGAGGTCCCATAGCGCTTGTCATCACTCAAAGCAGTGATACAGCCATTCCGGTAAACGGCCTTCTGTCCGAAGCCGTGGCGAACCGCTACTTGGCGTTGCATCAGCTATTTCATGAGTGCGATGTGTTTCAAGCGCCCCTCTATGTTTATCGATAAGGTACATTTGCCGAAGTGGTAGGAGAGTCTCCAGATGCAAGAATCTGCATCAAGTGCCGCTTGACTAAATGCCTGCATGGGCTAAGCGCAGAGATTGTGTCTTCTCTTTCCTTGCCTTGGAAGGTTCTTTGTCTTCTGCCACACCGGTATGTGCTGTCTCTGCTGTCAACCGTCTCCAGAGTTGCTTGGCGAAATTCAGTGCATCGACATATGGCATAATTTGGATTAGTTTGGGCATTATTGCAATGTGAGGTTAATCGGGAACTTGCTTGAATGCATGCTCTGCCCTTTCATTTGCATCGGCAGATGCTGATCGTGAAACATAAACTACATGTCCAATCTGAGGCGTGAAGGTTGATTCCAACACGCCCGGCTACCCTCTCCGCACCAGCGACAATCAGCACGCCTGGGTAGCTCTGAAGCCACTACCGCTCAGCCTTCCCAAAGGACACGCTCCTGGCGGAAAGAGAAGCACTTTGGAGTTGCACCCGCACTTTGGAGGTAGATGTCGCAAAGAGAAGATTCTCGGCGAGGCATACTCAATCGCCAACCCTTGCAAAGTGAAGACGAGCGGACAAGGACCGTCATATTTGGGCTTTTACCAGCGGCCGGAGCACCTCTGCAGAAAGCACAGATCATCATACAGGGGTCCGCGCCACGCGATCGTATCGACCAATCTGCCCTGAACTTAGAGTCAGCAGACACTGTTGAAGGTGATGCATCAATGCAGTTGTAGAGATGCTAGGACTTCGAGAAACGAATGCGAAAGTCCTGTGAGTGACTTGACTGACAGTGGAGCCCGGTCAGGTCCGGCTCCACGACGCAGCTGGAGGAGTCGACCACATCCTTGCCGATCGAGGAGTCTTGAACTCAGATCGCAGCCGACAGATTAACAAACAAAAGCCACCAAAGCGAGACTAACAACTCGCTTGACGTAAACACAGGATTTCTGTGCAAATGATCTGATAAGACAGTCCGGTTAGGTTCAATTTCAGGAACTAGCCGGCAGTACACTTTGCTTAGGTCCGGATCGACAGAGAAAGTCGATGAGACCGTCACATCGCTCCCGATGCATGAGCCTTGAGCTTAGACCGATGCAGTCGGCAGGAGACCAGCAGTCCTTGGACTGAGAGAAACACTTTCCTTGCAGCTGATAGGATAAGAATAACAAAATGTCTGATTAGGTTGACGCCGACTGTTGTGAACACATGCAGCTTGGCCGCTACCAGAGAAGGCCTCAACGCAGGACCTCTGCTGTCGTGCCGTCTTGTATCCAAACCATACGTTGCTAAGCCTCACGGAAGGACGGACAACGTTCGCTAACGCGGTGTTCTTCTCGGATGTGGAGGTCTACGTGGCGACGTCGTGGTGTAGCATAGCTATATTTAAAGGTGTTGATGTATGATAGCAAAAATATGTCTGTGGGGAGCGGTTGTAGCAAAGGCAACGACCTAATTGCGGCAATGCTTGGCCGCAGAAATGCGGAGATGCCAGCCACGACGCAGCGACGCTACTCGCTGTGTGCTACGTATAACTTTTTCTGGTGATTTTCGAAGTCATTGCATCATCGTGTGCATAGGCGCTACAATGGCTTGTTGCTGCAGGCATCAACATCCACGCCGGCGTCCGAGTAGAGACCGACTCCAAGAACCTGTGGCACTTCGATCCGTTCCCTTGTATTTTGGCCGAAATCGCAGCAGATCATGCCGAAGCTGTCTGGACGGCAGCATAAGCACTTCTGACTCAGCAATCCCTCGCTCAGGGGATCGCTACATGCGCAAGAAGGCTGCGACCGCCAGCACGGCCGACATCAAGATTGACGTTGAGTGGAAGCCGAAGTCGCAGAGGTGCCTCAGCTGTACAAGTACGTTGAAGGACTCTTGCAGTGACTACTGCAGGCAAAAGTTAACGTTATCAGTCTTGGGATCGTGTGTGTCAGGAAAGCCGGTCCGAAGAAGATCAAACAGATCCCGAAGAGCAATGCGAAGCTCGTCCTAATGCTTACTTTCTGTCCTGGAGCTGAAACCTAGAAGTATCGTAGACATTATGTGGTTCGTACTACAGGTTGCCGAAGGTCAATGCGGCGCTGTCATCGGCGAAGACGCGTAGCTCGAAGATGATGGTGGCCCAGGATGCCTGTGCTTCGGCCGCTGCGAGTATAACTCCCTTCAGGTTATTCTATGTTGTGTACTTTTGATGAACTTCCGCTGCTGATCCTGTGCATTACACACTGTGTGTCTTTGCTGACATTAGTCTTGCTCAGGTACGCGATTCACGGAGACCTGCTTGGTCGATGCTTTCCGGGCACTCGGCCTCAGGGTGCCGTACAGCGGTGACGGCCCCTTTTACGCTGTCAAGGATGGCACGAAGATGTTGGAGCCTCTGGGGTAGCTTTGCTCAAAACCATGATGCTTACTTGACAACCTACAGCTCGGGCATGCGAGTTGATAGGTATATCTAGCAGCACTCCATCTGCAACCAAGGTACACTATCCATGCCAGGAGTACTATCTCACTAAGGGACGAAGGTCGCTACATTCTCGCCAGACAACGTCACTTCATTGGCTTGCGGGTGTATTCGGACGGCACTCTATGTCTCACTCAATCCCATCGGTCCTTTGAGAATTGCATAGTGTCGGCGCAGGAGTTGTGTGGAATGCCTTTCGAAGCAATCTTCATGATTTCAAAGCATGAGCGCCAGACCGATCAATCTGACGGCCCACATCTCTCAGCAGGCACGGCCGCCTGCTCGGGTGCATTTGACTTCGCTGGAGGCACCACCGACAATCATCGCGTGCCTATGCTCTTCCCAGAACTGCTTCGACTCCTTCCAGCCTACTACTTCTGCCCAAATTATTTATCCACCTTAGCAGCGTGTTCCAGAGATGTAAAGACAGAAGTTATGAATCGAAACCATTGGATCGGCTGTCATCTGGATTTGGAAACACCAGAATTTCTTCGTGATCAGGAAACCTTGATGGCCATGTCCAAGTGGTGGAGAAATGCTCGAACCGTCAACCTGTCGCAACATCAGCTCGCATGGCTGGATGAAATTCCACAGAACTGTATGCTGCGGTGGAAGGTGTTCGATCTGCCCGTTCATGATGAATGTTTTTCTGGCTACAGGGCGACTCATTCTCTACTGGGCTGCGCACGATTCCGCATCAGTGTTCCGGATAACGTCCGTGCACTTCGGTTCGGCATTGAGAATCCGCGTGGACCAGAAGCGGTGCATGAGCATCCATGAGCTGTTCACAGAGCGAATGTGTTTTAGTCTCGGCCTAGTGCCTCTACAGAGAGCCAGGGGTTCTCGGCGCGTGCCTCTGGCGAGAGAAGTTCTTCGATGTCGGGCGCCCAATGACGTGATGCTTATGTGGGACCGACGCTACTTTGCGGTCAACCTCAACGGTTTTAACTTCGGACCGGTGCGACTGGAATTGGATGCTCTGCATGGTCCGCCTTCGCAAGCAGTTCCCGTTGTCTGGGCGAGGCGAGCTCAACGTAACAGAGACGTCACGCCTCTGTTGAGCCCTGTGATGCCTGCAGCAGAATGTTGCTGTCGCATATGCCAGCTATCACATGTGCTGGAACATCACAGTTGCGCCGTATGCCCGGTTTGTTCTGCCTGGGTATGCAGAGATCACGTGGAACTAGAGCCCCAAGCACAATGTCCTGGCTGTCCTTCTTCACTGGCTGATTTCCTGGGTGGATCTGTGAACTACACCCATCCATGCGATGAGGAACACATCAGACTGGCAGTTGCTGTACCAACAGAGCCCGGTCCACGTGATGGTTTTCATACACACAATTGCGATGCACTTCTGGTAGGAATGTACCGCAGGTTGACCGACAATATCTTGAACAACATCCTGCAGATGTACAACTGTGCATTGCAGGGACCTCCAGTTTCTGAACCCACATCCCGAGCTTGTCTGGGACATCGGAGCATCCGGGGCACCATCGTAGCGTTCTGCACAACTGAGCTTCCAGATGATATCTTTTGGGCCGAAAGCATAGCACACTCCTTGAACAACTGCTGTACTTTTACCTCGAATAGCATCATCTGGCATCCACGACCTCTCCGGCCCATTCATGTGTGCTTCGTGGAGGAAGAGACGGATTCTCGGCATGTAGAAAATAATGATGCTATTCATGCCGACAGCCATCTATCTAGACTGTAAAACTAAATGCTTATGTCGACCGTGAGGATGAGTTCATCGATCATGATCGTCCTGACGGATATGTGATTGATGACGCGGCTCCAGATGTGTCATCTTCCTCCAATGGTTCTGATGGACAACTTCGATGTATCGAATATTTGGGAGGATCCGTCCCTTGACTTAGAATGGACGCGTCCTGTCGAAGAAGTATCACCTGGATGTACAGGTACAGGATCATGTCAGAAAAGTGTCTTTCCATGACTGTTGCAGCTTCAGGCCGATGAGGACATGGACGTAGCTGACTTGACTGGAGAAGGCTCGACGTTGCTCGGCGCGCGAGCTCGGTTTCTGTGTGGAGCAGTAGATCACATGACGTTCAAGCCTGGTGCAGGCGGCTGGACTGCAGCATTGGAGAACGTGGCGGGGAGTGTGCTGCGGGAAGCACCTCGGCATCCTGTCTTCGATGTGCCGGAAAATACTGGGACAGAGAGTGTCGAGCATCTGCGTCCGTGTCTGGACTTGGCCAACATCAACAAGTGCGACCGCGATGCTCTTCTTCGTTTCGAAGCAGAAGGTCATCGCTATTTCTACAAAGATGTTTCAGTCAGTTGCAGCGTTGCTTGCTTGCAGTCTAGCACACGTCCGCTTCATGTGCTGATGAAACCATCCTGAGACGTGAAGCTGAGGTTACGACGCTGATACATCAATACGCTGAGGAGTTCGACCCGGCCGTGGCCTTGCAGAAAATGAAGAATGGCAGACGATGGCCTCGTCCGGAATATATGGATCCTGAAGCCAATCTCGTTGCCATATCCAAGATGTTAGCTGGTTTGGACTTTCGGCTTCAAGCAGACATCGTTGCTTTGCTGACGGAGGTGAACCCAGATCGCAGCAAGATCTGCGAACTAGTTGCCGAGTCCAAGAGCGATATGGAGGAATGGGAAGAGTTTACTGCACAATTGATGCTTCACGACAACGAGATCCTGGACTTGTGGGACAGGAGAAGGAACGAAGCTGCCAATTCAGGTACTTGGATGCACGCCATGCTGGAGCGTTTGTTGAATGGTTACATGATCCGAGCGAACCGCATGCAGGGAGAGCTGAACGCTGCAATTTGCATTCTATCTCAAATGGAGTCCGTAGAAGTGTACCGCACCGAGTGGTGTATTTATGCAGTGGACGAGGACGTGGCGGGCTCTATCGACCTCGTTCTCAAAGAAAAGGATGAGGACATCTACTACCTCGTGGACTGGAAACGAAGCGAAAAGCTTCGGGACAATTACAACAGCTTTGGCAGAGCTATTAAGCCACCGCTCCACGAGGTTCCGGACTGCCAAGGATATCACTATCGACTGCAGCTTAATATATACAAATGGATTCTGGAAAAATATTACGGAATCAAGGTGCGCGACATGAAGGTCATCTGCATCCACCCCCGCTATCTGCCAGATGGATTTGTGGACGATGTGCCAGATATGCAAGCTGAGGTGTCCCAGCTAATGCAGAGTCGCCGGGACTCCTTGCTGGCTCATAACATGCAGCACGAAATGGAACTGAATTCAGTGGATGTGGGACCGGGAGATGCCACAGACTCTGCGCCAGCCGTTCGGCCAAGTCAAGAAGCTCGACAGAACATGGAGCAGCAGCCATCTTTGTCACTGCCTGGAGCCTCGCAGGCTGCACGCTTGGACACTCAGGACGATTTGGAGAAAGACTTAGAGAACCTTATGATGGAGAATCTCTCAGACGACGAGCCTCATGCCTCCAAGAAGCGTCGACTCTTGCCCGGTGCCGCCGAGCACTCGGTGAACTGCAAAAAAATGTTCGCCAGGTGCCATGAAATTTTAGCCGACGCCCTGGACTCGTATTCAGCAGATGTGTGTGTCAAGCGACACACGATCCTGGGAAACACCAGAGCCATGCTGTCGGAGCTTCGTCGCGAGTTCCCGAACTTATCCGCGCAAGTCTGTCGATTGATCCTCGTAGCAGCACATCTGGCCGAGGGCAAAGTGTCGGACAAGCCAATGCTGCCAGACTCAGCTGCTCTTACATGGATGGTGGAGGGAGATCGGCACCTGAGGGTTCACAAAGGCTTTCTTTACATCTACGATGATGATGGATGTTTTCTTCCCTTCACCGGAATTCCACCGGAGTCAGTGCTGCAGCGAGTTTACAGTTTCTTCGCATGCCTGGAGGGTCTGTTCCGACGCATGAGGCCAGAGACCTCTCGAAAAGGTGACTCAGTGGCCAGGGCCATAACAGCAGATCTACAATCCTTCGAGAATGAAGATGAATTCCTACAGGCATGCAGAGATGCTACAAACCTCCGACAAAAAACAGCGGCTTATCCTCCCAGGCTGGACGCCGACGAAACTCTGGAGCAGCACCAGGACGACAAGGCCGCACCGCAGCACGATTCAGCAGATGAGCTTTGGACCATGGAGATGGCAGAAAAAGCGTGGAAGTTGTCTTGCAACATAAGACAGGAACTCATGCATACTCGGATGATTTCTCTTCTGGTTGAATGGTGCGAAACAGAAGATCAGAGATCCACCGCCATCTGTTATGATGACGTTTGTTTCATGTACGATCGGCCCGGTTCTCCACATCCCATAGATGCAGTGAAGAAAGGTCCACACAACAACTGTTATGTGAGAGTTCCTCATCCTTTACTGGACCCAGACATGGAAGCCAACCAGGAGCGTTTGCAACTCTTCTACGAGCAGACCTTCTGGTGTAATTTGGATGTATTTAAGTGTTTCCAAGCAGCTGCAGCCATTGCCAAGCGTGGGTACAATGTCGGCAGATGCTTTATAGGCATATCGCCTGGAGGAGTGGGACAAAGCCTGTACTCGCTGCATCTATCCGAAATGTACAAACAGAACCATGCATTTTTTGATCCGAACATATGGCACCTGGACGAGGAGCTGCGGAAGCAGGTTGAGTCTTTCGCGCGATGTTTCATATTAACAGGACAAGAAGCCCCCGAAACAAGCAAAAAGATGCATATAGATCTCTACAAAAAAACTATTTCGGGAGATGGCATCATGGGGCGCAAACCGTACAGATACAGTACCAGCATGTTCCGGATGATCGGATGGACAAGGCTGGAAATGAATCGAATTATGCAATTGGACACATCTACGGTCGTCTGCTATTGGAAGCGCGACCCGCAGGACAAGTTAGATGGCAAGTTTGCTGCACTGCTGGACATGGTGGCCGGTACTGCATCTGAGGAGTCGGAATCACTTGAAGACGACGGCCCGTCTGGAATGCCCAGCAAATTTTCCTTTGACGAAGACGATAATGCCTTTGTATCCGATGGAATCCTGACCATGCTCCGCCAGGAAACCAAAGAAGTTTTAGAGGATCCCCGCAAGATGTCCAGTAGAGTTGATGGTCGACGACTGTGTCCGTTGTGTCCTTTCAGATCGTTTGCACAGCTACGCCAACTACGCACGCACTTGGAGAAGCATCATGTGGAATCCAACCAGTATGTTTGCTCTGGTACTAAACAGATCAAAGTCATTTTGGCGTTGTACGACCACGCGGCTTCGTCACAGTTGGCAGCATGTGAGCTTTTGCAGAGGAGTGCTGCGCTGATGCGGAGTACTGTAACTCCACCGCTGAACCACCGCATCAATCATGTCGACAAGCATATACGATTGGTTCTCGATGCAGCTGGCCCTCGTTATGTCAACCTGTTGACTTTGAGAAACGATATGGAGCTAAGACGTGTCAGGAACATCTACTATACACATTCCTATGCAGATTTGCTTCTTCGAGAAGCAGTGCTGAATCATGCACAGGCGGGCGGTCTCGACCGTTTTGTGAGCCTAGGCGACGTAAGCAAGCGTGCATCCTAATAAGTATGCCATGTCGTAGAAGCTGTAACTTGAACGGTCAGGTGCGAGCCATCGCGACCCGGTGTCATATGGCTGCTCTGGAGAGTGGCAATAAGCTCTCCACGCTGTTGCCTACATTCAGCTCACATTGGCTTCCTAATCCTCGTCGACCGCGTTTTGTGCCAAAATCGCGGTCATGACAAAATCAATGGAGGCCAACGATGAGTGGCACTACGTGAGCATGGATGCAACCATCAAGGTCTGCTTGAAACTCCTGGGACAAGAGTCCTATCGAGCCTCGAAAGCCAGACGAGATGCTGCGCCCTTCGGAGACGACACCGCCTGGCGGCGGATTCTGACAGTCAGAGGTCGCACTGGTGCTGTCCTACTTCTACAACCTCTTCAGAATGAGTCGTCCGAGCAGCTGGTTGACGTCCTGAAAGACAACTTTACTGTCGATCAGCTTGGCCGGATCGTCCATGTCGCAACCGACAGTCCTTCTGAAAAGCTGTACACCCACTTAAAAGTTATTTGTCCCAGGCTCGCCTGTCTCATGTTGGATCCAATCCATTTCGCGATCGTGTACGAGTACGGTTTCTGGAATAAAAGAAGTGCAGGCTCGAAGCAGCTGCGTCGCATCCTCACCAAGTGTGTCAACGTCGACATGGAGCTGGAAGATTACGAATGGAGTTCGTACTATGACGGCACCATGTCCAGACCGTTGAACCGAGAAGAGGAGAAGTATCGAGCTATGATTCTGAATCTTTCGATGCCTCGCCGCACTGCCAACAACGTCTTGGACAGTCTCAGAACGGACCTGCCGTTCTACTCTCGATTGGAGCTCATCAAGTGTATTGCTGCTTTATGTCAACGATATCGGACTGAAGTCGAACGAAAAGCAGCGGGACCAAACAAGGAGATCTACAAGATTCTATGGTCCTCCTGCGCTCCGGACAGGCTCGAGTGGTTGATGAATAATGTCCGCGCTCGACAACGCATCAGGAGATCCTACGTGAAGTTTCTGCCGAGGGGAACTTCGAGCAATGAAGCTCTACACGCAGAGCTCAATTCCTGGTCCCGCAGCACCAACACAATGCATCGGTCCACTTTAGCCCTGCGATTGCGCTTCTACCATTACATAAAAATGCTGCAGCATCACTTGTCGACGGTGCATCCCATGACCCACACAGTCAGTGCCAGCATGTTGTTGGGCAGATCTCTTCATGAATCCTTATGGACACCACATGACTGGGCGACTTGGTGTGCTGAACAGCAAACAGATGGCTTTCAGTCGAAGGCTTCTCTTCCTCTAACGAATGCGAGAAAACATGAAGCTGCACGAGTGCGGCAGTGGGTCATGAAGAAGCCCTCGGCTTCCAAGCGGACTAGTCCCATGAAGAAGCGGCATGTCACGCCGCTATCAGTGCGGCGAATGCACACGCTGCGTAGTTCTGGCGTGAAATTACACTAAAGGTGTGATGGCTGCTGGACTCGATAAAACGCGAGAAGCTTATAGGTGCTTGCATACCAGTTCTGCAATGATCACGAAAAGCACGAAATACTTTTTCCTGGTTCTGGTCAGGTGATGATGTGGCGCGACCGAGAGTATGTTGGACTCTCGGATGCAGTATGTTGACAGATATCTGCGACTCTGCGACTCTCAGATGCATGCAGCGCGCACTAATGTCGCCGATACATCACTGTGTTCTCGCAGGGGTTTTGATGATGAATGTTGGCTATCTCTGCATGATTGACTAACATCAAAATGCTGGCGCCTTTCCTTGAGATCATCTGCTCGGCTACACATGCTATCTCAGCATGGTAGAGCGATACTGTTTGCTTAGGGAGGCAGCGTCACGATGTGCAGCTGCACAGACGTCGATGCCTGGCCTAGTTTCGAAGGGCGTCGCTGGCGAGCTACAACTGAAATGTCTGACCATGTATAGAATGAATACGTCTGCAACACAGGTGGAATACTTGCGTAGTTCTAGAAGAATTGCTTATATGTCATTCGATCGAAGCTCTAGTCGACCTCCAAGGATAAGCTAGACGTTATCTATTGCCATGGACTGGATACCTGAAGAGAGTCGGCAATATGCTTGCGGAAGCAAAGGGTCACAAGTTTGCGTGAGCGTGGATATAACGATCATTCAGCTACAATCACTAGCTCAACATCATTAAGCCCTGCTGTGGAGGGAGAAGTTAACTTCTGAACACACTCGTGACGAAGCATGACTTGCGACACTGTGCGCTAGGCTGCTTTCCATGACGCCGATAACATCGCAGTTTTTTCGGATATGAAACATGTGACATGTTTCTCAGAAGTGTGGACTCGAATGGCTAGGAACAATTGTGCCACATCCATGAGCTCATCAGATGCACAGGGTTCGGGGTTGTAGAATATATGATATAGCTAGAGATTATTCAGCTAGGCATATGTGCATATATTGGATAATAGCATTTAGCTAGGACTTGATGATTACAATACAAAAAAGGGTAGTTAAATGGACCCGAAAGGTGTCGGGCTCATAAATATATACATATGTATATGTCAGGCCTGTGCCAGGCGAGGAGTGGCCATTAACACCAGGACCATCCTCTAGGCCCAGATTCCCGGACCCCCTGGCAATCTGACCATGATATTGTAGGGAAACTCATCAGCCGCCCTAGGTGTCCGAGCACCGAATGATAGGAATCGGGCTTAGAACACATGCCTCATGTGATCGAGGCCAGCTGCAGTTCGCTTCCCACATGGTCTAAATCTGGTCGTCGTCGTCCTAGACTTCAGAATTGTTCAATCAATGTCTGGCCTGTGCCAGGTGAGGAGTGGCCATTAACACCAGGACCATCCTCTAGGCACAAATTCCCGGACCCCCTGGCAATCTGACCATGATATTGTAGGGAAACTCATCAGCCGCCCTAGGTGTTCGAGCACCGAATGATAGGAATCGGGCTTAGAACACATGCCTCATGTGATCGAGGCCAGCTGCAGTTCGCTTCCCACATGGTCTAAATCTGGTCGTCGTCGTCCTAGACGTCAGAAATGTTCAATCAATGTCTGGCATTAACACCAGGACCATCCTCTAGGACCAGATTCCCGGACCCCCTGGCAATCTGACCATGATATTGTAGGGAAACTCATCAGCCGCCCTAGGTGTTCGAGCACCGAATGATAGGAATCGGGCTTAGAACACATGCCTCATGTGATCGAGGCCAGCTGCAGTTCGCTTCCCACATGGTCTAAATCTGGTCGTCGTCGTCCTAGACTTCAGAATTGTTCAATCAATGTCTGGCCTGTGCCAGGTGAGGAGTGGCCATTAACACCAGGACCATCCTCTAGGCACAAATTCCCGGACCCCCTGGCAATCTGACCAATATATTGTAGGGAAACTCATCAGCCGCCCTAGGTGTTCGAGCACCGAATGATAGGAATCGGGCTTAGAACACATGCCTCATGTGATCGAGGCCAGCTGCAGTTCGTTTCCCTGTCGTGTACATCTAGTCCTCACTGTTGCTACAATTACAACGAACAAGAAGTAGCAGCAGCAGCAGCAGCGTAATGAAAAATAGCACTTATATAATATAGCAACAGCAAGAGTAGTAGTAGTACTATTAGTAGTAGTAGTAGTAGTAGTAGTAGTAGTAGTAGTAGTAGTAGTAGTAGTAGTAGTAGTAGTAGTAGTAGTAGTAGTAGTAGTAGTAATAGCAGTGGCAGTAGTAGTAGTACTAGTAGCAGTAGCAGTAGCAGTAGCAGTAGCAGTAGTAGTAGTAGTAGTAGTAGTAGTAGTAGTAGTAGCAGTAGCAGTAGTACTACTCGTAGAAGCAGCAGCAATACTAATAGTTCATATATTTCGTAGAAGTACTACTACTACTACTACTACTACCACTACTACTACTACTACTACTACTACTACTGCTACTACAGCTGTAGTAGCAGTAGTAGTAGTAGTAGTCGTCGTAGTAGTAGTAGCAATAGTAGCGGTGGTATAGTAATAGTAACATGGTAATATATTTATATAGTAAAAAAGATGTAGGACTATCGTAATGGAGCAAGAAAACAAAAAAATAATGAAAACATATTCTAAAGTTATACAGTTGTAAAATATTATAGGAATGTAAGAATGTAGCAATATAAAGTTTTTAGGAATATAGTGATATTGAAATATAGTAATATAGTCATATGGTAATATAGTAATATACATCATATAAAGTAATATGTATATATATATAGTTATAATTAAAAAAAAAGTAATACTCTAAAAAATAATTTAATGATATAGCAATATGGTAATCTGATAATGTAGGTTTCTATTAGTAAAGTAATACACTAACATAGTAATATATAAACAAAATAATAGAATACAATATAGTCTATAGTGCTAACATATATATATATATATATATATATATATATATATGTATGTATGTATGTATGTATGTATGCATATATATATGATACTATACCCATCTGCATATATACATATTATACTATATTGAATTTTATTAAATATTGAATATATTGAACTATACTAGATTATACCGGATCAAATACTACACTATGTTATAATAATTGCACTCTATATTAGTATATGAGTCTGTTATATTACTAATATTTACTACTATACTACTAGTATACTACCACTGCTACTACTAGTGCTGCTGCTGCTGCTACTACTAGTAGTACTACTACTACTACTACTACTACTACTACTACTACTACTACTACTACTACTACTACTACGACTACTACTACTACTACTACTACTATTACCACTACTTACTATTTCTAGAAATTACCAGTGATCCGATGCTTATATGTACTATATAATACTAAGGCTTTGCTACTTTTTGCCATCCGGGAAACAAGAATTTTCTGGCCAAAGGTCTTCCGGAAACAACAGACGGGAAACAGCCAGGAAATCACGTGGCCAAGATAAATCCAGGATAATTCGGGAATTTCCTGCAGCAGGGAAACCCACAAGGAAACCCTTGCAGGGAGAGTCTAGGGAAAATCCTGGAAATTCCTGTGTTTTTCCTGGCAGAGTTTCTTTCTCTACCAATGTAGTAAGGAAAGCAAAATCAGGAAACCAAGAATCCGGGAAAGAGGGCCGGCCGGGAAACCGGGAAACCGGGAAACCACAAAATTCTGGAAAATCAGGTGGCAACCGGGAAATCGGGAATTCTGGCCATGGCGGGTAGCCGGGAAACAGGAAGCCAGCAAATTTGGGAACAGGCATCCAAGAGAAATCCAGGAACCGGGAAATTTGGGAAGCCACAACAGCAGATGATTGCTAATATTCGGTGACCACATCACTTGTGATTTTCACCTTATTTCCAATTTCACAACGATTGTTGTCTCGTTGAGAAACGATCGTGCATGAACGCTTCGAACGGTTTTTTGGGAAACTCTTCTAAACTTTGAACGATTGAACTTTCCATGAACTTGATTCTTTGATTGCATTGTACAACACGTCTGCCGCGCACGCTCCTTTCAAGCACACGAGTGCAAATTTTTTGTAGTGGGTGAGCCTTGGGGCTTGTAGTGCTGAGCTGTTCAGACTCCCGCGAGGGAAGTGCCCTGTACGTGAAGCTGTCCAGTACCCTCGGGGAACGCAGTGGATCGGAACGGTGCGAGCGGAGTGAGTTCTGGAACTCAGCCTAATCACGGCCGTGTAAAGGTTCTCTAGAGTCCCACTGCTTTTGTAGGATGCATAGGTCCTTGCAGCAAATGATGGATGCTGATCGTGACCCTTGGTCCAATCACCGCTTGGCACTCAACAGCGCTGGCAGCTTTACGGCCAGTTCCTTGCCTGAGGATCCCATTCAGGATTTTGATGCGAGGGACTCTGAGGGTCGCAATTCCCGACGTGCTCGATGTGCGTCGCGCAGCCACTCTGATTCTCGTGGAGGGCCTCGGATCAGTCTTCGTACACGAGTTATTGATGAGTTCAATGTGACACGCTCTCTTGTGCCGGCTGATACAGTTTCATCAAGATTGCCTTTGCCTCCTACTCAGACTTTGGTACCTCAGGCTGAGCTAGAGACTTTACGTCGCACCAGTGCAGAGGTTTGCGCACTACTAGCTGCATTGCACCGGCTGCAGCAATCTTGATGTGTGTTGAGGGCAACGTGGCTTTACTCAAACGGTGGTATCTGGCGGCTCTGGACCCCATGCGATTCGTATACTGCGTGCACCGAAAGTTGCCACAAAGTTTTGATAGCTGCGAGCTTTTGTTTCTTGCCAGATTACCGGTGCTCGCGTATGATTCGGCAAAATTAGTCAACTGTCCACTGCAGGTTCTTTCACGCTTCGCTTGTGTGCAACAGTCTTCTGCACCACGCTTGACTGTGCTCTTTTTCTTTTTCAGGATTTGTAGCTGACGAAGGCATGGACCGGCCATCGGACACTGCAGGTCGTGCTGATGGGCCTGGACCGTCAGGCCCCTCGAATGCTGCATCTGATGTCTGGGGTCAGCTCATGGGCAATGCTTTCACTGGCAATGACACAGAGGATCTGCTGCGCCTTATGTGTGACCGCATCGACGCTCTCGAGGAAACCACTCGTGCTTTGCAGGGCACGGTGCAGCGCCTCAGCCAGGAGCTCATCGATCACCAGGTCAATCTTGCTCGTTGGCACACGGGAAATTCCATTACGATTGCTGACCTTCTCGAAGAGGTTTGTTTCCTGCGATCCAGAATCCGTGAACCTGAAGGCGACTTGCCGCCAGGGGCCACTCCGATGACTCCCAGGGGCGATCGCAGCAGATCTCCGGTGCGTGGAGCGTCGAGCACTGGGCGCGACGCCTGAGTGGCGGTTGTGCTCTTTGGCTCGGCTGAAGTTTTGCTCTGAGCTGCACCCGTGGTCGCCCGACGAGGAAACATGTCTGCCTCTTCTGCGTTTGCATGCTGCACACATGTTGCTCAGAACGCGTGGCGCGTGACCTGAGATTCCATTTGCAGTTGTGCATCAACTCATTTTCGTGCAGCGTTTGCGCCCTCAGCTCAGGTGTGTGTTTGATCACGTTTGCAGGTAGTAGATCCGACACTGAGTGCCAGCGGTACTGACTTCATGCTAACATGTTGGACTGCACATTGAAGCCTGCACCTCTCACGCCAGACCTCCCACCAGGTCGTTTTCGCTGAAGTTTTTGATAGGGCCCCTTTTTCGCTGCTGCATGTCCACAAGCCCTGCGACCGACGCCTCTCTTTCGAGTGAAGATATTGAGCCTACCCTACAAGGGTTGTTGGCCATCCCGGCCGCGGTGGCAACCGTGGGCTCTTATCTCTGTGCTGACGATCGGCACGCTCTTGAATCTATCTCCTGGTGGTGGCACGCGGACCTCAGGTGGCACTTGCGAGAGTGGTCACCTGTGCAGTCGGCGGAGCCCTCCGAGGCATCGGTGACACAGAGTCCGTAGGTCCGGACCTGGGGTTGCCCTCTTGTGTCGCGCTCTTGCTGTGGGTGCGATACGGGAGCGCTCATGTCGCAGTTTGACTTCAAGACTTTGCTCGCCTCGGCTGTCGACTCTTGCTCGGAAGCCACTCCTCGAGATAAGCTGCTTCCTTGGGAGTCTGGGGTGTTCAAACAGATCTTCGATGGAGAAGACCCTTTGTCTTGGAAGGACAGGTTCGATTTGCCGGACCCACCTGGGTGGGATCAGGGAGAGACGGAAAGCTTGTTCCCGGCAGAGAAAAAACGCAAGGTATTAGATTCCGATTTCTGTTTTACGGTCGTGCGCAAGACTGAGGGATTGAGCTGGGAGGATCAACGGCAGCAAGATTCTGACAAGGCTATGGCGCGCTGGATCTTCATAATCGTGAAATGGTCTGAGACATGCCCTGACTTGTTGGTATGCCAAAGCCTGTCTGAATGCACAGAGAAGGATCAAAGGATCAACGTGATCCAAGATTGGCTGCATCCTAAGGCGCCGAGCACTTTGTTGAAGCGAGCCAATTCGATTATGGGATATCACAAAGTTGTTGGCTGGGGCGACGGGACCTTTCCGTACCGTGAGCAAGATGTGTACCGCTACATGTCTGATGCTAAGGCAGGTGGGGCAAAACCGTCGCAGCTGAAGGCTCTGCAAGAGGCTGTAATTTTCGTGCGGCATATTTTCATGGTTCCGCAACTGGACAGGGTGATCGAGAGTCGTCGCTGTTTGGGAGCCTCGCAGAGGGGAACTGTGAAACGTGGTAAGAAGAGGGCTCACCCGCTTTCCATCCTTGAATTGAGGAAGCTTCACCACTTGCTTGCGAATAAAGGCGTTTCAGCCTGGGACCGCACCTTCGCAGGAGCCGTTCTCTGTTGCACTTACATGAGGGCGCGATGGGGAAACTTCCAGCACACTGTCAGCTTTGATATCGAAACGAATGACCGAGGGGACGTCATATTCTTGGTTTACACTGCTGAGGTGTACAAGACGGTTAATTCCAAGTACTTTTCTGGCGAGCCGGTCAGGTTCATCGCTCCTGGTGTTGGGATTCTCAGTGACAACTGGCTGCACTTGTGGAAGCAGGCTAGGGCCGAGGTGGGATTGTTCTCATTCTTGCCGCCGTTGCCAACGCCTAATGCAGCTGGTGAGGCCATGGGATGCTCAGTCTCCTCTAGCGAAATCAGAGCTTGGGTCCAGAAGGTTTTGGGGCGAGATAATAGCTTGAACACCACGGGACACCTCATGAAGCGCACCTTCCTGACTATGGCTGCTAAGCGGGGCATTGAGCATTTGGATCGGCTGGCTATGGGCGGTCATGCCAACTCGGCAAAAATGGCGGACACTTATGGTGATGACGAGTTGGCGCGACCCTTGAGGCTGCTCCTCGCGCTCTTGGAGGAGATCCGCGAAGGCATCTTTGACCCTGACGCAGGACGTGCGGGGTACATTCTTGGTGCAGGACTACGTGAGCGTAGGTTGGAGGCGGATCGCATGGAGAGTCAGGGGCCCCCGGCTGCGGGCGCTTTCATGGCTGTAGCGACACCGGAGGTCGTGGACGGTGACTGCCCTGCCGACCAATCTGCCAATAGCAGAGACAGCCTTACAGAGCAAGATGCGGCCTCGTGGGAACTCCCGCATCCCGAGCCGCTCAATGATGATGACTGGAGAGACTTGGGTATCTCCCCTCCAAGTCCACAGCATAGTGCCGCCTACGAGGGACCCAACATTGAAGACTCGCTGGTGCACCCGTGGGACAACCTGATTGAGGGACATGGTGGCGATGCTTCAGAGACGGATTCTTCCAGTTCAAGCTGTTCCGAGGATTCGTCTTCTTCGTCTTCGCGGGTTAGCCACGAACCTGAGCGCAAGGTGGGTGTACCGAGGCCAGCAGCAGGCACATCTTTCCTGCAGCACAAGAGGACCAGGCTTTTGCACATGATTTCCGATCAAAATCGGAAGGTTTTGCTGTGCGGCCGAATGGTTGGTGACATCTACAAGCCACCGAGCAAAATTCGATTTGACTCTTCTGTTTGCCGCAACTGTAAGAAGTTCGCGGCAGATCTGTGAAACGTGCCTTTTCGAAAGACTCAATTACACTTTGTGTGCGCGTGCTGCACTCTTTGGTGCTACTGTCATGGAAGCCTCTCCGCTTGAGTGTTTTGTGACTCAACAGCCGGGCATCATGTCGCTTGTGGACTCGGAGGCTGCCTTCACTCAGAGATGCCAGGAGGTGAACGCTGTGGCCATTCATACGGCGCTGAGTGACAATGGCGTCACAACCTTTGCTAGTTTGGCTTATGCGTGTGGCACACCTCAGGATCGTCCTTCGCAGACCGAGTTGGATGCATTCAGTACTCGGATTCTTGGGGCTGCGCCTCGGTTGGGCGATGTCTCGCTCCTGAAGCGACTCATCTTCGAATCTTGTACCTTTGTGATCGCACAGTTACGCCAGAATGTTCAAGGCGATGCTTCCAAGACGCCCAAGAAACTCCCCCTGGCTGAAAAAGCGGCCCGAGCGGCAGATCAGAAGCGCCGATTGGCAGGGGTCCACATAGAGAGGGACTCCGTTCCATTTTATGCATTGGTGGATTTATGCTTCCATATGATCGAGGTCGGAGTGACATGGATCAGCCCAGGCCGCTGTACGAGTCGCGAAAGCGAGATTCAACTCTCGACGCGCGATCAGACTAAGGTGTTCAAGCTGGAGGATAACAGCTTGAAAGTCGGGAATGAGGGTCCTGATGATGTGGCCTGCTTCGACTCTCCCATACGACTACAGTGGTGTCTTCAAAGGCGAGGCCTTGCACTCGATCAAGCTCGACTTATGTCTTGGCAGCAACATGAGAGGTGGGTGCATTGCCTCCTCCACGCACTCACTCGTGAGTGCCCTTCAGGGTTCCACAAGCCGGATATGAACAGGATTGTGCAAGCGGACAGGGAGGCATGGCTCATTCTTGCATCGGAAGTCTCAAGCCTCAAGGTCACGGCTGCTGGCGAGTTTCCGCTTGGTGTTGCACTCGAGGCCTTGAGAACCGACCCACGAATTACCATGTATCTTATGCCCACTTGGGGCCGGCAGCCCGATGTCAAGATGCCTTTGGATGTCCCGTCCCCACCAAAGGACGGCGAGGGCTTATCTCGGTCCGCAAAACGTCGGAAGCGCTTGAAGGCGGCGGGTGCGGCACGGACTGCTACGCCGCCTGGAAAGCCCAATTCGACCCCCAGAGGGGCACGTGCGATGCCTGCTGAGTTGAAGGGCACACACCAGAAAACCGAAGACAGAAAATTCATTTGTTGGGATCACAATTGTGGAGGCTGCAAGCTCAAGACCGAAGGCGATCCCCCAAAGTGCCAGCATGGTGTGCATGTTTGTGCCTTCTGCCGTCGAGCCGGCCACTCCTTCCGCAATTGCCGTGCTCGCACTTGGAAGGGTGCTGGCAAGGGCAAGACCAAGGAGTGACTCTCGGATGCAAACCCTGGCCAGGTTGAGGCTGGACGGATCACTGGCTCGGACAACGACGGGCTGGGATACACTTTTTCTCCTGTGAATGTGACGACACAGGACCTTTCTTCTGCTGAGGTGCTGGCCGCCCAATGCCTGCGCCTAGGCTTCGCAAGTTTTGCGCAACTACGCGAGCTTATTACTCGCCTGCCTGCGGACTCTGTGGGGGCGAATTCAGGACAACCTGTTATCCCTACGGATCCCAAATCTTTTACTTCCGGAGCATACGTGCACCACGACAAGAACGGGCTTCGATCCAATTGTTTTTCCTTCCCATTTTCGACCCAATTGCTTGCACGCATATTGGAGGCCGAGTTTCCTGCTGTTTGTTTTTCTTCAGTGGGTCTATTCTTTAACTTGAAGGGGCCGCTTCATTTCGACCGCAACAATGACCACAGGCATGTCAATCTGCTGCTTCCAGCCTCGCATTTCTCGGATGGACAAATTTGGGTGGAAGGTCGAGGGTCGCACCCCTGTCCTGATCCTTCTGCCAAACGCCTGGGCTACCTCCTGGATGTCGCTTCGGGCCCACAGCTGCTGCCCTCTGAGCGTTTACATGCTACATGTTCCTGGGCAGGAGACCGCCTGCTTGTGGTTGGTTTCTGTGTTCGTGATACACAACGACTCAGCGATCGTGACCGCCACTGGCTGCGGGACTCTGGTTTTCCACTGCCCGACCCTCCCGAGACACCTTCCGCGGTTCACCGCCAGGTCACTTCAACGACTTCTTCGCCTTCCGTGTCTACTGCTGCGACCGTGCCGCCACCTGCTTCTGCTCCAACCTCTACTGTCACCGCCAAGAAACGCCGAGTCGCATATCGACCTGCACGGCCGGTGCATTCCGCTAGAACGCCGTCGCGCTCTGAGATGCCGACCACGCTGGCGGGCGACACTACCGAGGCATCCGCTCCAGAGCTCTTTCCACACAACCTGGCTCCACTGGTCATCGAGATATTTGCGGGCACTGCCCGTCTTAGCACTGTGGCTGGGCGAATGGGCTTTCGAACTTTGGCTGTGGATCGCTCCTCACAACGAACCAACTTTTCCATACAGCGGCTCGACCTCACGATGGACGAGGACTTACAAACCTTGCTCGACATCATCAACTTGGAGGCTCGCAACATTGCTTGGATCCATTTGGCACCGCCTTGTGGTACTGCTTCTGCTGCCCGTTCCAGGCCTTTACCTCAGGCTGCGCATTGTGGCTGCCCAGTGCCCCAACCACTACGAAGCACTACAGAGCCGCAGGGCCTCTCCACACTGACTGGCGCTGACAAGGACCGTGTCTTCGCTGCCAACAAGTTGTACCGTGCCGTCGGGCGCGTCGTGGACCTTGCCCTGCAGCTTGGTCTTTTTGCTACTGTCGAGAACCCTCTCAACAGTTTGGCTTGGCTTTGATTTGTGATGGCCTTGATCACCTCTGTCGCCGTGAGGACAGCTATCAGCTCATTTTCGATGCTTGCATGCACGGCGGGGATCGGGACAAAACAACATTGTTCTGGTGCTCCGACCCACGCTTCCAGTCGCTGGCACTACGCTGTTCCCGCGACCACAAGCATGCGTCCTGGAAGCCTCGTTTTGTGGATGGACATTGGCAGTTTCCCACTGCCCAGGAGGCGGCGTACCCTTGGCTTCTTATCCTGCATTGGCTTCTACTTCACAGCAACCACGGGCCTGCGAGCAAGTCGCATTGCAACGACAGCCGAAGTACGCTCGACCTCTGGTTTCTTGCTACCAAGCGCACGACTGCTGGGCTGTACCTGTGCGTTCTGCTGACGCTGCGGCACCTCTCTTAAAGTGCTACCCCAAGGGCGCTCGTGTCACACAACGCAAACTGGTGCCATGGGGAGCAGTTCGGGTTTGCGCTGTCTCAACATATGCTGGCTTTGATCGACCGAGTTCTGCCGAGCTGCTAGGGGAGGCGGCCAGGATTTCCCAACCGGATGCTTCGGACTTCTCTTTGATCTCAAGTGAGGATGAGAATGAAGTGTACAAGGTGGTTGGAATGGTTTGTGATGACAACCCTTGTGCTACCCAGGCAGAAATCCTTACCATTGGCATTCCACGTGAACCCGAGGACTTTGTGAAGGCTGCAGTTCGAGCGGGGCACCCTCGCAATGCGATACTGGTCAATCGCCAAGGTCCTGCAAAGGAGATCGCTGCCAACGTGGTTATGCCAGCAGAGGAACGCAGAAGAAGAGCCGATGAGGCTCGTGATGCCTGGAAGAATATTGCCAAGGAGTCGGCTAGTACCAACGACGCGCTTATGAAACAAAAACCCAAGTACCTGGCGAAGGCGCTGGACAGCAAAAATGTCATTGCTTGGAGGCGCATTCTTGAGAGAAATGGTTTTCCTGATAAGATGCTTTGGGCTGACTTACGTGATGGCTTCCGCTTGACTGGATGGATGAGAGAGACGGGAATCTTCAAGCCACGCGTCAAGGCACGGGAATCCTCTCTTGAAAGCTTGTTGGCGCAATCGTCCTACCGATCTCCAATGACTATGAGCCGAATAACAAACACGAAGCCAGACGATACGTCTCAGAAGGCGTGGGCTGAAACTCAGGAGGAGGAGCGCAAGGGCTGGATCTTCGAGGACACCGATCCCGACTTCGACAACATAGTTCTTGCGCATCGGTTCGGACTGGAGCAGAAAAACAAGGTGAGGGTGATCGACAATGGAAAGGACTGCGGCTTGAACATGGCTTGCGGGCTGCCGGAGAAATTCACCTTACATGGGGTCGATGTTCTGGCGGCCGTCTTCCTTGAGTTGTTGAATATGCCTCGCGACCGGCTGTTCAGATTGGTTGGGAAAACGATAGATCTCGTCTCAGCTTATAAATTCTACCCAGTGCACCCTCTTGACCGCCAACACTTGAGGATTGGAGTGTTCGACACCGACAGCAAGAGGCCGCGAGTCTATGGAACAAATGTCCTGCCGTTCGGTGCCACTGGAAGTGTGGCTGGCTTCCTCACGGTTTCAGCTGCCATTTGGCACACTGGAGTCAAGGACATGGGACTGGGATGGTGTGCCTACTTCGATGATTTCCCATTGCTATCACGATGGAATGGAGGAACAAACCGAAGAACTTGCTGACGAAGTGTTCGAGGCTCTTGGAGTTCAGTACGCTAAAGAGCGCAAGAAGGCAACAAAGTTTGAAGCAGTCTTCAATGCATTGAGCTTAGCCTTCGATCTGTCGGGATTCGAGAATGGGGTCATCTCCATCACACATACCAGCGATAGAAAGAAGGAGTTGATCGACGTCCTCGGGAACATCTTGCAGACGGGCAGGCTGAGCCCCAAGGAAGCTGAAGTCCTCAGAGGGCGCATGCATTGGTACTCTTCCTACTTGTTTGGCCGGGCACCGTGCGAGGCTATGCACCAGCTGTCTTTGAGGGCCAGGGGAATAGATGGTTCGCTGGAACTGGGCGCTGATCTGGAATGGGCTGTGAGGACCCTGCTGGAACACGTCAACACCTCGAGACCCCTAGAGTTGAGGCAGACTTCTGGGAGGGAACTCTTCGTCTTCACCGATGGATCTTATGAACCAGGTGCTGAAATTGTGGCCGGCATCGGGGGAATCATTTACGATGCCTCTGGTGTCCCGCTGGCTTTCTTCAGCTCGGAGATCCCCAAGTCTGACTTGGAAATGTTGGAGGCTGAATCCGAGCATCCAATCTATGAAGTCGAACTCTACGCAGTGCTTGTGGCGTTCATGTTATGGGCGGATGTGTTGAGGGATACCCTCAGCACCTTCTACTTAGACAACGAAGCTGCGCAATCCGCTTTGATTGCTGGCCGCTCTGGGACTCGGAACGGACGACAGCTTTTACAGCGAGTCTTATCGCTGGAACACGACAACTTGGCTAGGCCGTGGTTTGGCCGTGTTCCTACTCACTCGAACCCCGCGGATCCGCCTAGCCGACAGATCGTGGACCACTTGATTAGACAAGGTGCAAGGCGGGACAGCGTCGACTTGGGCAATCTGCTGCTTGACAAATTTCCGGATGTGAGCTGAAGTGCACTTCGATGGGGGAAGTTCGGGTGCACTTGAAACTTGTGCGTTGAAGGAGTCGTGGCCCCTGGCCGAGCTTTGGAAGCTTGACCTTGGGACAGACGCCGATTCGACATTCGACTATCCCCATTGCACTTCGAGCTTATCCGATAAAAAGAAGGAGGGGTCCGAGTGAATGCATCACAATCTCACATGTCTGATTGAATATTCCATATGAAATACATTTGATTGACTTTCCCAAATAACGACGAATTTGTTCATGCGTTTGTGGACTTGGAAATAAGTGACCACATCACTTGTGATTTTCACCTTATTTCAATTTCACAACGATTGTTGTCTCGTTGAGAAACGATCGTGCATGAACGCTTCGAACGGTTTTTTGGGAAACTCTTTTAAACTTTGAACGATTGAACTTTCCATGAACTTGATTCTTTGATTGCATTGTACAACACGTCTCCCGCGCACGCTCCTTTCAAGCACATGACTGCAATTTTTTTGTCCCGCCCGCCCGCCCTGGGGGGAAGTTCGGGTGCACTTGAAACTTGTGCGTTGAAGGAGTCGTGGCCCCTGGCCGAGCTTTGGAAGCTTGACCTTGGGACAGACGCCGATTCGACGCTCGACTATCCCCATTGCACTTCGAGCTTATCCGATAAAAAGAAGGAGGGGTCCGAGTGAATGCATCACAATCTCACATGTCTGATTGAATATTCCATATGAAATACATTTGATTGACTTTCCCAAATAACGACGAATTTGTTCATGCGTTTGTGGACTTGGAAATAAAGTTAACTTACTTCGTATACAAATCGAATAGCTATCTCTACATACATATGAATATTTATGGCAAGGGTAGTCACCCTTGTTGTCGAAGTCCTAGAAAAGCAGCAGTATAGGTTGTAGTAATAGTAATAGCAGTAGTATTAGTAGCAGTACTAGTAGTAGTAGTAGTAGTAGTCGTAGCAGTAGTAGTAGTAGTAGTAGTAGTAGTAGTAGTAGTAGTAGTAGTAGTAGTAGTAGTACTAGTAATAGTCCTAGTAGTAGCAGTAGTAGTAGTAGTAGTAGTAGTAGTAGTAGTAGTAGTAGTAGTAGTAGTAGTAGTAGTAGTAGTGGAGTAGTTGTATATGTGTAGTAATAACAATAAGAAAATAGCGCTATCCAAGTTTATAGCATACAGCTATCATAACTGATATTGAAATAAATTAAAAAAATACTATATGCCAGTGGTATATAATAGCTGTAGTAATAGCAGCAAGCAATAGTATAAGCAGGATGTTCAGTGTAATATGCAATAAATCTAAAGTATACACATAAAAGAAATGGTTATAGCCAATGAGCAAATATTCCTCTTGAAACACATTATAAAACAATAATATATATATATATATATATGCTGAAGCTAGATATTGTAGATATGGCAATACGCACATGCACATCCAGCGCCAACCCATGTTCCTTCAAGCACGTTTCCTGAGTTCTGTTTACCATATAGCTCTATTTCTTTTATAGGGTTTCGAATGTGAGGGTCTGGGGTGCAGGCTTCAAACTTATATAGCAAGGGTTTAAAGTGTATGCCAGCGCCAGCTTCCAGCAACAGATGCAGAACCTCCGTAGCGATATGAGGGTTTAGCAGAGGGTGCCGGGCTCAAGGTCAACAACATCCAGATAAACTTAAATTGGTATGAGGTTTGTGCTTGTGAATACTGCGGGTTAAAATATTGGGATCTACAGACAGACTAAGGATATGGACGATGGGTACCGCGGGGTTCAGGAATCGGGCACGGAGGGATCGGGCGCTGGGGGTTGGTAAACCGCAATTCAGCCCTTGAAATCAAAGGTAGGGAATCCAGGGCTTAAGGCGGTGAGCGATGCATCCAGGCAATTAAACAGAGCTGGATATTTCAGCTTCTAGGGTTGGTGGCTGCCTGGCCTGTTTGATTGATTTGCTACTCCATGCGGCTTGCTCTTCAAATCGGTTTTGGCACATTTTTATTTCAGGTTTCCGGGTTGGGGGCTTAGAGGTCTGTAGCAATGCATGTTGTGGGCATAATATTAACAAGGCTCTGCATGTTCGCCCAGGAAACCTAATGTTCTCCACGCTTGCTCTCCGGTTTAAACTGACGTACATCTTTGTTCAGCTGGGAGGCTTCGGGTCAGGTCCGATATATGCGCAATGATCTGAACAACGAATATACCATAATTTTCCGATTAAGTCCTAGGTAACACAGGATTTATATCGTCAATAATTATGTTTACGTTCTTTCGTAAACCTATCTAAGTTACATGACTGTTTCATATCGAAAAAACCTTCTACTATGACAGCTGCTAGTTGCAGGCCTTCGGTCCGTGGCTTTCTGCACATACATAATGTGGCGGAGGATTCTAAGATAGGGTTGGATCATGGTTGAACTACGAGTGCTTCGGTTTATTTGTTATTTTCTCAGCGCGACTTCACCGTCTTCGCATTCTCCAGCTGTCTTGCCAGACCCAAGATCCATCTTTTCAGCGTTGAAACTGTTGCAGTTTTTTTATGCGTGCCCTTCTTGATCTTGACCACATGTTTGTTGTAGTCCTCGTCCATCCACGTAGCATGGTATGTAAAACTCTCACGGCTAGGCAATACATCGCAGAACAAGTGGTACTGCAAGTGGAACTTCGGCCTTATTCTCCACAGCTTCCTCCTCGATGCCAAAGCATTTTTCGCAAGGTTCAAGTACGATGTTAAAAACAGATGTCCAACGGTACGTACATGAAGATGTTCAGCTTCAGTCATGTTCCTTCCAGCTGCGTTCGCAACACATAGGCACGAGTCTGCAGCCCACAAGCACGTGCTCAGAAGCTCCTGATCTGGAGGGGCATGGCACGTCACTTCGGAAACCAACCACCGCAAAATCACGAATGTGTCGTAGCCTTTGCACATCATTTCCGGATACCCTTTTTTCTGGAAGCCCATGTTCAAAGGCGTCAGCCTCCTGATGCTAAGGGTGTAGCCATTGTCTTTTGCAAAGTCAAGCAGGCGTCGCGAAGCATCGCGGATCCGAAGCGCCACAGTTCTGCCATTGAACATGTAACGTTTACCCAAGAGCACTCTCAGCGCTGATGCAATCAGGTCTCTTCCACATCCTAAATGGAATATGTGCAGAATATAGGGCCACACCATGCTCATAGAAAATCCAGGGAGGTCCAGGAAAGGAGGTCTCACATCGTAGGGGTCGTTTAAGCCATAAGAGGACTTCCATTTTGCATTTGCTTGCAAATTGGTGTAGCAAAAGCCCAGATCAGCACCTTCAGCGTTGCCCTTTGTAGCCATGCACTTCCAACAAACCTTGCAAGATAGCCGTTGCACACAGAGGTCGATGGGATAAGATCTAGATTATGTTAGTTTTCGGTCCCGATCGGTCACAAGGGTCTACCAGGAGCTATCGTGCGGCTAGGTCTGAATCCAATATGTACACACAAGATCAAACTCCCAAGACCCGACCACATCCTACCCGATCTAAGAGCAAACATTTGCACAGTTGAGAAAGCACTTTGTAGTTAGGTTTTACTTTGCCGTTTGACCCGAAACCCAATCTAAGGAGCTAAAGCTTCTTCAAAAAGATAAGGGGTTGTCCTTGGTATACACCATGAATATTAACATATGGATTTAGGTTTCAGGGTTTAGGCTTTCCGAGGTATTATAGCCAACCATAAGCTTTCAAACTCGGACTAAGAATAAATTTTAAGCCCCAAGAAATGAGCTGAGCAGCTTCTTCTTTACCCATGTGCCTCGTCAGGTTGAAGGTCTGCGTGACATACTTCCAGTCCCCTCTCGAAGCCGTGACCCAGAAGCGCATGTTGGCCACCTAGCTCAAAACATGGAGTAATATATACATATATATATACATATATATATATATATATATATATATGGTCACCCCCCCCCCCCGTTGACAGACCATCCCCTTCAAAACATCGCTCCCACCGGTGTGTTCGTGCTTTTTCCGGGGTATCGAGTTTGAGCCCTCCGAACGTATCTGTGGAACCACCAAAAGACTCGTTGACAGACCATGCCCTTTCAACTCAGTCGTAGTGCATGGTCTGTGATCGGGGGAGGGGGTACTCAGCTTTCAAAAACTCAATTCCAAAATTTCCAAAATTTCCAAAATTCTCTCCCTTAACTTTCCGGATTTCCAAAATTTCCAAAATTTCCAAAATTTCCAAAATTTCCAAAATTTCCGAAATTTCCAAAATTTCCAAAATTTCCAAAATTTCCAAAACGGCCCGACCTAGTGGACAGGATTTTTCCAAAACATAAGGGCGGACTTTTTGGAAATTTTGGAAATTTTGGAAATTTCGGAAATTTTGGAAATTTTGGAAATTTTGGAAATTTTGGAAATTTTGGAAATTTTGGAAATTTTGGAAATTTTGGAAATTTCGGAAATTTTGGAAGTTTTGGAACTTTTGGAAATTTTGGAATCTCTGGACCTTGGAATTGATTCTCAGGAGGGCTGATTGTGACCCATCCGATGACAGACCATGCACGACTTACTTGCAAAGGCAAGGGCTGTCAATACTCATGCCCATATTTAAACGAATATCTCTCAATCTACCTGTCTATCTGTATATACATATATGTATTGATACTCCTACATATAGTATTGCCATTGGAAATACTGACAGTGATCATTTGTTGAATGCTCAAGCTAATACCAGCATTACTACTAATATTACACTTCTATAAAGCTTACTGATACTACTCGTAGCAGTGGTGCTGTATTACTGACATTGACACTGGCACTAGCGCTAACTCTAACACGAACATGAGCACTAACACTAATTTATAGTTGGCAATATTGATACGTATACTTACAGCAAACAATAGTACTAATATTAATAAAAATACTCACCCTAATACCGATACTACCACAAGACTGTTACGTAACTCATGTGCCGCACGTCTGGTGCTATACTATGTACCTCATGTAAAGGTTTTGCTTCATAGAATATCGTCGTGCACGGTGTTTTTTAGACCCGCGGTCTGTCAACGGGGGGGGGTGAGCATATATATATATATATATATCTGTCGCTACCGATCCTAAATTTATGTTATCGTGCATGGCAGCCCATGAAATCCAAGCAACCAGCTCCCCACCAATCGAAGGGTAATTCCTGATTTCCAAACCACGTGAAAGCTTAGCGAAGGAGGCGGTGATAGCCCTAGTAGCGGCCGCCAGCGTTGAATTGCAGCCATGGTCGTCTTTGACATACGCATCCGCCGGGATGGTGGTGATGAGCATGCGGGTTGCTCCACTTAATGTAAGATGTGGCGAACAAGCCGGAGACCAAACAAGTACCATCCAGCTTGCACGAAAAGTTTCGGCTTCATCTCCTTAGGTTTTAGGGTTTAGGGCTTACTTAAAGGATCATGGGACTTAGTAACTAGGGTTATAATTTAGGGTAACTATACTTATAACCCCAATTAGGGTACTTATAACCTTACTTACTAAGTCCCATGATCCTCCAAGTAGGGTTTAGGGAGTGTATATTCTCTAGACGGTACAAATCACGGGCTTTTTTTGATACTTAACATAATCAGTCTAAACCACTCCTAAATAAAGTATGGGCGCCGTAGATTGTAAGGGGTACGTGGAACGAGTGGTCCCGCTGTCGTGCGACAGGATGCAAAGGATAGTCTTTCAAGAAGTTGTCCCAAAAGTCATCCAGCTGCTCGTAGTCGACCAGCATGTCGAGGTAGCCATAATCGATGAGGGCATGAACCTGGTCGCTTGAAAGGTCGGGGTTGCGAGGATGTTGTTTCAATGGCTTTTTTGGCATACTTAAATTCGAGTTGGCTTTTGATAATGTAATTAGCGCAAGCCAAGCTACCAATTCGTCAGGCATGATGAATGGCCACTGCACAACGTGCTCCTCGCCCCATCTGTCCAACATTGGGAGTGGCACATACTGCAACTCGCAATGAATGGCTTTATCCGCCTTCGCCACCCTCTCATGTAGACCACGTTCTCGTGAGTTTCTCAGCTTTCAGAATCAAGCAGGGTTTTTAAGAGGTGGTGTGACGACGATGGTCAAGACTACAACATGAGCCGATGACCTAGGCCATGTCAATCTAGAGCTTCCATATATATGGCAAATTCATTCGGTGATACGTCGATGTGGTGATCTGAAGACTGTGATGTGGTGAACTGTTGCATGCTAAGGCTTCCCAAAACAAGATGTTTTCTTGTTCACGCCGTGAGTCATAAAAGTTTCCGACCCAAAGAGCCTGCCAAAGCGACGGCTGCGAGTGACGGTGAGGTCCCCCGAGCCCACAGCATCCAGAAGCCTGGGATGTTATGCTGGTCGAATGGGAACATTAAGTCTTGGACTAAACTTCGGGCTTATGTGGTATTGGTCTGTGGCTCTTGCTGCCAACGGGCTCCCTGTCCAGCTGGTCTTGCAACCGATCGTCAGATGCATATGCACCTGCGCAAGGCTTCAGTGCACAATTCATTCTTTTTGTATATCAAGCCTTTTGCACACAATAATCGGGGCAGGATTCGCCAGCATGCCATACACCCTGGAACTCCAAAGCACCCGGATCGAGGATAGACCCTGTAACCCCAAAGCCCTAAAGTCTAAAAGCTGACACCAGGCCTAGACCCTACAGCCCTCGAGTTTCAAGACCCGTTAACCAAGGACCTAGGCACCATTATAAAACCTTAAACCCTATATCCGAGGACACATATGCGGCTTTTCCTGCAGCGACTCGTTCGGTGAAGCCTCCTGCCCTTCGATCGCACAGAGGGCGCCCACAGTGCCACAGCTGACAATATGTGTTTAAGCATAAAGTCTAAACCCGAGGGCACGACGGGATTGGAAAGCCTAGCATAAGATGGCACCGTGATCCTGGCACACACTCCATGCAAGAAAATGTGGTGCCTAGTTGCACCGGTCCCAGCATGCGCAATCCCAGCATATGTGTGTATGACACAGTATGTCTTGCGCTTGCAATCTAAAGATTTCGGCAGTGCCAAAAGCCAGCCGAGCCGAGATATACCAATCACAGTCTTAAGTAGCGACTGGTAGTAAATAGTAGTCGTAGTAGTAGTAGTAGCTGTAGTAGCAGTAGTATAGTAGGTATGAGTAGTAGTAGTAGTAGTAGTAGTAGTAGTAGTAGTAGTAGTAGTAGTAGTAGTAGTAGTAGCAGTAGCAGTAGCAGTAGCAGTAGCAGTAGCAGTAGCAGTAGCTGTAGCAGTAGTAGTATAGGTAGTAGTGGTACTTGTAGCGTAGTATAGTCGTAGTAGTAATAGAAGTACTAGTACTAATAGTAGTAGTAAAGTAGTAGTAGTAGTCGTCGTCGTCGTCGTAGTATAGTCGCAGCAGCAGTAGTAGTGCTGGTAGAATAGCAGTATATAATCTACAGTATAGTAGTACTAGGCGCAATAGTAATGGTTGTAGCCAGCCAGCGGCAGTAGCAGTAGCAGTAGCAGTAGCAGTAGCAGTAGCAGCAGCAGTAGCAGCATACTTAGTAGTAGTAGTAGTAGTCGTAGTAGTCGTAGTAGTAGTAGTAGTAGTAGTAGTAGCGGTAGTAGGGGTAGTAATAGTAGGAGTAGCTGTGGTTGCCGTGCTTGAACGCTCACGGTATTGTGTCTGCAAAGGTCTTTGACTGTTCTCAACTTTCGGGTTTGGGGGTTTGCAAGGATCAGAGATTGAAGATTTGAAGGTTTCAAAGATCACAGTTAAGGGTAACGAAGGTTCACGTTACCATCGGATTTAGTAGTCTTGACTCGCACCAGCCAGCGACAGCCGTGGTCTCCGCATGTTTGCTACATCATCGCGCTGCACGCATCCCCAAGTCTTCTAGAGTATGTTCATTTATAACCTGTAAAATTATGGATCTGCGTGCCTGGGCGCAGTGTCGGACAAACCTAGCACATCGACCAAGTAGACCCAGCATATCCCGACACGTAAAAAACGTGTTCTATGGATACGGCCGATGGAGAAAGCAGGTGGCACCAGGCAGCTCCCATATTCAGGTCGTATCTTAATTATGTGAACCCTCCTACAGAATTAAGATCCCCACAGCTGCTGGCGCTCACGTGAGCGCTCACCTGGACCTCTTCGACCCGCGGCTCACGTTGCTGCCGCTCTCTTTCTTGAGCTCCCGCGCCACCGCAGCAGCTTGAACACGCGTGTACTTCGCACCGTCCACCTTGCATGTTTTGTAGGACCGGTTGCTATATAACCATGGATTTTTAAGGTCCGAACTCATCCTCGGGTATTGTGATGGTTACAGCAGATATGTACACCTGATATAAGCCCGGGAGCTTCTTGATAATTACATCCCAACCAGACAAAAAACCTCCTAATCAAGTATTGAAATTGTGCAATCCACGAGCTCAGCAGCTTGCTCCTTCAGCTTCTCCAAGGATGGCATGTCGGTGCAGTCGCGGATCCTTCATCTACGTGACTAGCCAAGCAGAGGGGGCTTAAATTTACGGGTTAAAATAGTTGAGGTTAACATTAGCATTCATGCTATATAGAGCCGATTTAGGGTTCCACTTACATTTGCGAGGTAAGTACAGGCTTATGGCATATCTCGGGAACACGATGGAGATGAGGCACTCATCCAAGATAGCAGTAAGATCATTGCTCACCTTCTCGAGGGCAGTTCGGAGTTCATGCCCGGATGGCAGGTCCACATAGCAATTGCATGCCTTCAGCTCCTTTTTGATGCTCGTACCTGAGAATATAACTGCATCGTACAATTGGTGCAGTGCAGACAATGTCGGGTTTAGGGGCATAGGGTTTAAGGGTTTAGGGTTATGTATAGGGCGTGGATTTAGGACTTTGGGTTTGAGGTTTGAGGGGAGGGGGTACGGGTTGGAGTTCGAGGGGTGCAGCTGTCTAAATCTCATGAAAATAACAAGGACGCATATCCTGGCAATCTAGGCACGAGTCTGCTCCAACGCCTCCTCAAGGCAGTTCGGATTCGTTTTTTGCCTTAGCCTTTGCTTTCCCTTTGGGAGCAGCCGAGGCAGTGTTCGAGCCCGGGCTGGCGGAGCCGGAGCCAGCTGCCAAACCTTGGCGGCAAATACTATATAACTATATATATATATATATATGTATGTATATTACAATATCTGTTGTTATAAAGTATGCATAATATGTATGTCTGTATATACATATATCCGATGGACATTCCTCATCACCAGGATGCCTGATAACTTTATCCGGTACTCATTTTTTATTGCCTACACAACTGCTGGAAACATCATAGTGCCAGTCATCTCACGACATTGAATACATAGTACCATGTACAACTGCTGCTACAGCTGTTGTCAACTATGCTTGGCGTTGTTGCACAAAAACGAACACAACCACGAGGACCACTACTTTTGCTGCTGCTGCTATTGCCATCGCTACTGCTATACTACTATAGCTATTAATGCTACGGCTACTGCTACTGCTATGCTATTGCTCTGCTGGTTAATGCTGCTACTATAGCTGCTGCTATTGCACTGCCACTACTCCTGCGGCTGCCCCATGTTACTCCTACTTGCTATATATGCTAAATTCTAAATGCTACATGCTACTGCTGGCACTGCTGCTATACTGCTACTACTAAAACTGCTGTTGCTATACTGCTATACTGCTATATCCTAGTCTTCTGCTTGTGCTACTGTTATTGTCAATATGCTGCTTGAAACATCCACTGCTCCGGCCGGCCTTGGCTTGGGCTGCTGACAGGCACTTAGTATTATTTGGTTGAATGGGTTATGTTGGAGGATGTGGCAGGAAAGGCTTTCTCGGGGAACCAGTATATGAGCCAGGAGTCTGGTCTGCCTTATAGGTTTTATCTAGGGTTTTAATATCAGAGGATCGATGCATTCAAGATGCACTTGTCGAAGCCGTAGACAAAAACCCAGAGCCAACCCTACAGCCATCGTGTAGAAAGTTTAGAGTGCCAAGCGTTCGACACGCAATTTTGATGTAACGGTAGATCTTCCAGCGACCAGCGAGATCCTTGAACCACAACCCCCGAACCCTGACCTACCTAAACCCATTTGGGCACCTTCATAGTGCGAAGTAAAACGGAGCATGAGTATAGAGCTGTATCTATTAGTTAAGTCTACATAGATACAGTTATATACTCACACTCCGTTTTACTTCGCATTAAGCCCCCTTAACTAATACAATACACCCGAGATATCCAAAGAACACTTGCCTCCATCAGTCCAGCAGCTGCTCTGGATGTGGCCAAGGAGATCGTTGCTGACACCTGGGGCAAGCGGGACGGCGGGCGTGATGCTGGGGGCAATGCTGCCTCCCAAAGCTGAGACAACACCAGGCGTGGCCGCGGTATGGGCAGTGAACGTACCCGTAGTGCTGCTTTCTTCGCGCTCCAAGGCTGTCCTTTCCGTGGTTACCCAATAATAATTCTCGGACACCATGTCCGGCACGTCCTCGTCCGGAACGCCCGCCTAGCTTGGATGGGTTGAGGATCGTGTGTATGTGTGTAGTGATTACTTTGCAAGTTTAGCAGCTTGCGTCGTCACGATCCGCTCGATTTGTTTCCTTAGTTGGACATACAAGCAACTTAATGCATCTGTCGTGTCCTACGAACTACAGCTCCTAAGTCGTTGATCCAAGTAGCTCGCTGTAGCCTCTCTTGACCATTTCACTGATCTTCAACAACTCCTTGTTTTTGTCGTTGGTGTTGGAAGATTTTCTCATCAGGATCACGGCGGCTTCGCAAGCATCGGCGTTCCCCTGCTGCTCCACCCATGGGCGTTTCTGTCCTGATAGGCCCGATGTATGTATATATATATATATATATCATTGAGATTAAAAGCCAGCCATTCTTTAAGAGCTTGGGATACATTGGGAAGGTTTTCATACTCAAAGGTTTGCAGGGGTTGAGGGTTTAAGTTTAGTGTAATATATGTAGCCCCAGGGATTGTATGGTGGGCACCGCAATTATGGATAAAGTATAAAGTTTCACTGAAAATATAGAGGGTTTAGGGTGACCACTACTCCCGCGACGGAGTCGTAAGGATCAGGGTGATTTTTCTAGGCCGATTAGGAAGATACCCGATTGATGGATGACCCTTTCCCTGCCCTCTCCTCCCTTCCTGTAGTTCCCTCCCCCTCAACCTTAAACCTTAAAGCCCTACAGCTTATATTCATAGATCCGAAATCACTTGACGAGGCACAATCTTGCTTCCCCCGAAGAGCCCACGCATGTGCGGGAAGGCAGTTCCTGACCATTCGTGATAAGTTGATTCGAGCTTGAATTTCGAGACTTGAGCAACAATATGAAAAATATCACCGAACCCATGCCTCGCGGACCGGTGACGAATCTTTCGAGCCGATTCCACTTCGTCTTGTGGGTGCTCGTGTTGATCACATCCAGCTGCAGCGGAGTACCACGCCTCAGGCCTGGCACCGGAGCTGGCACATCTTCCACTGCCGGCGGTGGTGGCGGGATGGATCGCGGATCGGGGAGCTCACCAACCCCCCCCGCGTGCAACTTCTTGTTCCTGGCAGCCTTGGAACGGCCCGTCATTCCCTCCTGCACCTCATGCACCTCCTCGGCATCAACCTCAGCCTCCAGCTCGCTGTCCCGGGCGCTGGCCATCTCAACGTCATCATCACCATCATGCTGTGCTGGGCTGGGTTCATCAGCATCCTCCATTACCTCATCATCTTCCTTCGTCTCCTCCTCCTCTCCCTCGACGGCCTCGTCGTGGCCTTCATCAGCGACCTTGGTCTTCTTCGAGGACCTGGGGATGCACCAGAGCCTAGAGCCCTTACGGTGCAAGCTCAGGGCTTCCCTAAAGCTTGGGAAGGTTCTGAAGTGACTGCGTTCCTTGGAGCTCAGGGCTGGAAAGAAGCAGTATGTATCTCCAGGCAGTGGCGCGGTAAGAAAGGGGTTCAGTGGATCCTGAAAGGCTTTCCCCCTGTGGGTAGTGGAGACACCGAAAACGTCACGGTCTGGCAGTACTGTGATAAAGATGATCCCAAGCTTCATATCCACCTCTCGAAGGCTCCTCCTAGAGGCCCTAAAGTCTCCGATGTGTTTGAGGTTCGAGGTCCCCCGAAAAAGTTCTTTCTTACAGACAGCGCGGCCCAAAGATCCAAGCCTCCGGCAATTGATCTTGACGCCATGCAGGTCGAGACTGGCTCAGCAGAAATGCGTGACGACACTGAGGTAGTAGCTGAAGTCACAGCTACCCCCGCTGTTGAGGACGTTCCAGTTTGCACCTCCACAGACGAAGTTGCTCAAGCGCGCAATGAAGGATGGACTGAGGTTAATCTTCAGGGCTGCGGTGACTGTGCTTTCCGATGCATTGCTGCTGCCAGAGAGTACACTGACAGTGGCAAGGTCTTGTCTCAGAAAGAGAGTAAGAACAAGGGAGCTCTGGTCCGGGTTGATGCTGTCTCGCATATGAGGCGTCACCTCGAGCGGTACATCCCTAACTTCGCTGTTGACAAAGACACCCCTCCCGAAAGTCCCCAACCCTCTCAGGAGGCTCTCACCAAGTCGTTTGAACAGTGGCTGCTCACTCTCGAGTCTCCCACTGCTTGGGCTGATGGCTTGGTGTTGTTGGCGTGTGCCGTTAGATATGGTCAACCGATCATAGTGTGGTACTTTCACGCCGCTGGCAATCACTGGAAACGGGCCACGATTGCCCCAGAATTCCACGCTGGATATGCTAGGATCGCGCGCAAAACCCAACCGGTCACTCTTTTGCTCAAAGACCAACACTTCACTTGGTTCAAGCCCCCTGAAGGACTTGATGTGAAGACTGTTAAGAGGAGCTGGCTGCGGGAGTCTATCATCCCGGAGCGGCAAGTGTTGCAGGGAGCTGCTCCTGGCAGTGCCACTCCCTCTCTTCACTCTCTGCAAAGCGCTGGTAGTCCCAAGCCAAAACTGCTGGCCGCTAAGGGCTCCGGTGGACGTACTCCCTCTGTGCACTCCCTCCAAAGTGCCGTCAGTTCTCGGGCAGGGCAGCCGCGGACTCAGGACTCAGGGCGAGGCACTCCTTCGCTGCACTCGCTCACGAGTGCCGCGACCTTTTCTGGACGCTACGCTGCGACAACTTCTGGTTGCAAAGGCCCTTTCGGTTGCCCAGGCCCCAGTTGCAGTCGGGTTGCTTCAGAAGGCTCAGCTTCCGGTCGGTGCTCTGCCGACCAGGAGAGAGCTCAGGACGGACGTGAAAACCTTAGCGCTGCTTCAGTTGCCTCTGCTGCTGCTGCTGCTGCTGGCTCAGGCACTCCTTCGCTTCACGACTTGCAGGAAGGGACCCGCACTCCTTCCCTGCACAACTTGTCTCAGGTCTCCTTGTTGGGGACTCCTGGCTGCGCTGAGGTCAGGGTCAAAGAGCACCTCTTTGACTCCCCTGACAGACCTGTCAGAGGTGACTCTGCTGCTGAGCGCGCTTCACTCAGAGAAGCTTTGCTCAAAAGGAGTCGGAGCACTGAGAGGGTTGAGTACAGTGAGACCATCGCTGGAGACTTAGATCAGATGCTCCCTCAGAGGCTCTGTCTCAACGGAAAGCAGAAGCCGGCCCGGGAAGAAACCAAGCCCTTAGTCCGGAAACACGAACACGTTTGCACTGTCTGCTCTGCTGTGCTCTCCTGTGTCAGCTCTGCCAGTCTTTCGGCTTCGAAAAAGTACCACTACTCTAGTAAGCACCCCGAAGTGCCTCTGAGTCAAGTTTTTCCCTCCAAGAAAGTTGTTCCCGCCACCCCTAGTCACGACATCCCGGCTGCTGCTCGGACCTGGGAGTGCCCAATCTGCACCAAGGGTCTGCCGGCTCTGTCTGATTACGAGCGGGTTAGTGCCATCACCAAGCACTGCGAAGATGAGCACCCTGGAGAAACACCTATCTCCTTGCATCATAAACGCTTGAAGGGATGGGCTAAGCCTGAAACCATGAAGGCAAACCTCTCCAAGCACCATGCTAAGGTCCGGCAGGAGACAAGCTTTCAGGATGACCATGAGCGGGTCTTGCTCCCTAAGCCCAACTGGGACAAGAACCGTGGCAGTTGGATCTACTGTAAGAACTGTCTGGCGCACCTTCAGCGCCGCTCTAAGGAGTTCCTCCTCGTTCCGTGCAGAGAGCGTTTGGCCAAGACGTCTGCTGACCTCACTGCTAAGCGCATGAAAGCGGCCTGGTGGAGCCGCCTCTCGAAAGAAGACCCCGAGCACAAGAGGTTGCTCCTTGAGGCTACTGGCTGGACCGAGGCTGCTGTTGATCAGCTCCTCTCTTGACTAGGCACCTCGCTTAGGCCTGGCCGTGTCCACTACCGGATCGGCGAAGCTAAGAACCCAGGACCCGACGGGCCTGCTCAGGACTGCGGTGTGCAGCAGGCGGCTCAGCTTGCAGGCCTCTCGGTGCTCACGCTTAACGTGGGCGGTAGTCCTGGTTGTTGGCGTTTGCTTAGGTCTGACTTTCTGGATGCGGACGTCGTCTGTCTGCAAGAAGCGTCTCTGTCTACGTCTGAGTTTGGTGGGTACGCCAGACAAGCTAAGCGGAAGGGCTACACTGCTTTTCGTTGCGCGGCCCCCCCTGAGCAAGGAAGGTGGGGCGGGGCTGTCACCCTTCTGAAGAAATCTGTGCGTCACGGCACGGTCGTCGAGAATAGCAGGAAAGGGGTTCAAATGTTGGGGGTCTGGCTCCCTGACGTCTTTCTCCTGAATGCGTATGTTGCTCCTGGCAACCAGCATGTTGGGGCTGAGATGCTTGGTGAGGTTTTCTGCGGGCAAGCCCTGGACAGACACCAGTGGGTTGCTACCGGGGACTGGAACCAGGAACCCGAGGACAACGTGCTAGGGCCCCTTCTTTCCGCTAAGGGTGGCAGACTCCTCGGCACTGCGCATAGATGGGCTAGTGACAAGCGTATCGATTGGGCCATGAGCACGTTGCCCCTTCAGAGACTCACGTTCGCTGGCCCTGAGGTGCACACGGCCATTTCTGACCACCAAGGTTTCTGGCTCCGTTTGCAGGACAAAGTTCAGACGCCCAGCTGCGGTCGTCTCAAGCCCTCGCCGACTTGGCACAAGCCGAGTTTCCTCTCAGGACAGCAGTGGACTCAAGCCCTCGCTGAAGCTTGGGAGCGTGCCGCTACCCAGACTGAGGCTTACGTCGAGCTTCGCTCTCAGCTGGACGACCAGAAGCAGTTTTCGGTTCAGGCTAGCTGGGACTGTTTCATGGCTTGCATGAGGGAGTGCTTTCTTGACGCTCTCCGTGCCCTCAGTGCTGAGTGTACGGATGCTGACCACGTCGAAGAAGTTCGTCGCCTTCGGGCTCAAAACGGGAAACACGTCAAAGGCAAGCCCGGTGTTTTTCAGTGGTTTAACTGTGGCACTCGTTCGGGGGGCCAACAAAACCCGGGTGAGGCACAGCGGCGTCTGCGACGTAGACTTGCTAGGCTTTACGAGGCTCACAGGCTCGCTAAAAACCACGGCTCTGTGGACACGTCGTTGGCACGTAAACTTTGGCCGTCGTGGAAAGGTGCGCTTTCGGTTGCAGCGGTGCAAACGGCTGCAGCTGACGAGTTGCGCACGTTGAAGCAGCAGCAGACTGTGCAGGAGCAGCAGGACTCCCGCAGAAGGCTCAAACACTGGAAGGATCGTATGTGTCAGGGAACCTTCGGGGACCTCGGGCGCTGGATCCGTAACCAGAAGCAAACCTGTTTTGGGGTCACGCTGTATGGTCCTAAGGGCGACGCGCTCGACAGGATTCAGGCAGCAGAGATGATTCACGCTTTCTGGACCGGTGTGTGGAAAGAGCACAACATCGACAATCGAGAGGCCGCGGACAACCTTCGAGGTCAATTTGGGCAGGACCGCAGCAGGCTGCAGTGGGACCCTCTCCCTCTTCAAGCTTTGGAACAGGCGGTGAGGAAGGCTAAGGGCTCTGGCGCTGTTGATGGCTGGGACGGTGATGAATTGAAATTTATCCCCCTGCAAGCCATTAAGTGTTTTCATGCGCTCGCTCTTCGATGGGCTAGTGAGGGCAGTCTGCCGAGGCAGCTCCTGCAGGCACGTCAGGTCACGATGCCTAAGCCCGATAAGATCGAAGCCGGCAACCGACTCCACGTCTCCGGCACCCGCCCTCTCACTGTGATGGGCGTTTGGTGGCGTGCTTTCGCCAGTGCTTGGGTGCATAGCGGTCAGATGGCCGCTTGGACTTCCGCTAACCTTGACAAAAGGGTGTGTTATGGTAAAGGCTCCGAAAGCCCCGAAGCCGCCATTGACAGGCTCCAAATGCAGTACGCTAAGCACGGTGGTGTCTTTTGCACCCTCGACTTCAGTCAGGCGTTCGATCGTATCCACCCCCAGCTGACTGCTGAGGCGCTTTCTGGTCTGAACTTTCCCCCCGGCCTCGCTAAGCTCCTCGAGCTAGCCTGGGGTGAGCAACAAAGGTTCATCCAGTGGGATGGGCATACCTGCCCAAAGACACTCTCTCCGGCGGGTACGCCCCAGGGCTGTCCGCTCGCTCCGCTCATCCTCGCCATTTACACCAGCGCCGGCCTCAGAGCTACTGAGGCCCAGCAGCGACTCTCTGCTGACGTTTCTGTGTACATGGACGACAGGACGATGTATGCTCGCACCTGGTGGGCAGTCAAGTCTAGGATCGAGGCCTGGGCCTCCTGGAGTGCTAGTATGGGCTTGATCGAGAACCAAAAGAAAACCCAGGCCTCTGGACGTAGAAAGCAAGCTAAGCACGAACTCTGCCTCGACTGTCCTCCGGCCTGGCTCTGCAGTGACATTAAGGCCCTGGGCTGTACTACGACCTCGCAGCCTAGGAAAGAAAGTGACTCGGAGCGCGCTAGGCTGGCTACGGCTAGAGAGTGTGCTGCCTTGCTTCGCTCGGTGCCTCTTGCTTGGCACAGAAAGACCTCGGCTTATCAGTGCTTTGTCATGAGCCGAGCTTCCTTCGGTTGGGTTTCTCGTTTTCCTACCCAGACTAGTGCTGGCAAGTTGTTTAACTGCATGACTGCCGGGTTCAGGACCAACCGCATGGCTTGCAAAGATCTCAGGAAAACCCTTTATGGGGCCGTCCTTGACCTGTCTTTGGTCGTCACCTCAAGGACCTGGAGACGTTTCGCTAAGGACTGTGACCGAGGTCGCAGGCCAGAGTGGACTGCTGGCCCTCACACGGCTGTGGGGTGCCTCCGTAAGGCACTCAAGGTTTTTGGCTTCACTGAAGTCAGGCCCTGGGAATGGAAGATTCCTCAGCGGTGGGCCCGGCTAGTCCCGGCCTCTGAAAAGGCAGTCAAGCTCCAAGGTCGCGCTGGGCTTGAGGAGCAACTGCATGCGCTTCGTGCTCAGTACCGTCGACAGGCCTTTGAACGTTTTCTGCAAGGGAAGCGTCATGAGGCGCAGCAGCTTAGAGCTCGCCACTCGGCTGCGGCCCTTAGGAAGGCCTATGCAGAGATTAGCATTGAGCGCACTAGGGAGGCTTTAGGCTTCGGCCCTGGCCACAGAGCTGCGCTGCTAGCTTCGGTCGTTTCCCCTAGTTGGTACGCTAAAGCTGTTGCGGATGAAGAGGAGGAAGATGTGAGTGCAGGCTGCCCGTGGTGTGGCCACTCGCTTGGCTCATGGAGTCATCTTGTTTGGGAGTGTCCTTTGAACTCTCCTCCTGATGGCCTCAGACCTCCTAGTAATCCGCTTGCTCATCGCTTTGGATGGCAAGAGAAACACAATGCTGACTCCCCTCTCGTCTTGGCTCACATGGCTAGGACCGCTGAGCGATTGTGGAAGGCGAGATATGAGGAATCCTGAGACTGCAGCCCTGCTGCGGCCTCGCTCTTTCTCATTGGTTGCCCCACTGTCGTGAGAGCTTCGGCTCTTGCAGCTAAGGACTTTCGTCATCAGAGCTACGGCTCTCGCAGCTAAGGACTTTCTGGTCTTAGAGCTTCGGCTCTCAGCTAAGGACTGTGCTTGGTAGCTTCCAGATGGGCGCTGTCTGGTTGGCTCTCCGGGTGCGGCAGTACCAGAGCTCGGCTCTAGCTGAAGAACATCCTGCTGCTCTTCCTCTTCCACCCTGTGGGCGAAGTCTTGACGCAGGTGTTCTACCTCACCGCTGCTGTGGGCGAAGACGCGCTCCAGCAGTTCAACTCACTACTACTGGCCTTCATCATCATCATGGTCTTCGCGCTCATACGCCTCCGTCGCATTGTCTGCATCGGATGCATCATCATCCTCCTGCTCCTCCTCCTTCGCGGCAAGCACTGGCTTGCGCACCGCCGGTGCCGGTGCTTCTGTCTCACGATTGCCCGTGAGCTGAAGCTGCTGATTGGAAACCGTGAGCCTCACCACCTCCCTCTTCAACCGTTCGATTTCGGAGGCCATGGAGCTCGCTTCGCTCGGCAGGTTGCTGGCACTGTGCCTCGAAAGTAGAAACACCAAGCAAAATATATGATGCCACATTATTCATAAGAAGCCCAAGCATTGCTGTCCTATATATGGTGCCATACAAGCAACGAAGGGTTTACCGAAGGTAGCGAGCTAGCCGTAGTCGAGGCGTGGCTGGGGCTGGGATCCCTTGCAGGCCGCTTGTTCTGGCCCTCGATCATCTTGGTGCCGGCCATCAGCGTGGCACAGGACCTTGGCCAATTAATACTGGGTCCGAATGGGGTTCCACTACAAGTTGCAGGAAAATACACTTGGTGGTTTCATAGGTGAAAGTTACAGTTGTATCTGTATATATTACATATCATATATTACTAGACTAGTTCAAAGTCTACTTATATATATATACACATACTTGTATATAACTTACCAACCCTCATCGGTCAGTGTCCCGGTTTCGGATAAAAAGGGTTTAAGCTAGTCGTGGCATTTCAGGATAGGTACTATTGTTTTATCTGGGCTGTAGCCTGGCATCTACAACCTGACATGACATGGTGTTGACTGGGTAGTAACCGGGTAGTATTGGATGTACAGTGAATTCGGTCTGGAGTTTGGGATCGAGGTTTCAGCGACTCTTGGTTTAAAGTATTGGGTTTAGGGTCCGAGGAGGATAAAGCTATCTAACTCCATGGTTTGGGCTACTGGGCTGATTTAAACAACGGCAGAACAGATATGCTGACGAATGGCCACCCGCGCTTGAGCTGCTTGGGCTCCGCCACAGGCACTGGCGTCTCAAACCTGGGTTCCTTCGAAACACGCGCTGTAGCGATGTTCAAAGGCGTCTTCTGGCTCAAACGTCGTCGGCGCTTGGGCTCTTCCGGCTCTTCCGGCTCTTCCGGCTCTTCAGGCTCTTCCGGCTCTTCCGGCTCTTCCGGTTCTGCCGGCTGTTCCACAACAGGCTCAGGCGGATTCAGAACAGCTCGAGGCTTCTTGGGCACCGTGCTGCCCTTGCCCCTTGGGGGGGCAGGCTCAGGCTGGCCACGGGCGGATGGCAGGACGAAGTCCTGCCAAAATCCGGCGAGTTATAATGGCTGACACGTGGCCGCTCGAACTCTAGCTGGCACAGACTATATGACATGCTCGCAGCTGATGGGTCCTTGGGTGGCGGTCCCACAACTTCCCTCAAAGCCTCGACGGCCTCAAGCTCACTGAGATCGAAAACCTTCATGATCTCCTCGAGGTTGTCGTACTCGAGGATCGGGTGATCGTCCTGGGGCTCGACCGGCTCTGCTGGCTTCTTCGGCTCTGCGGGCTTCTTCTTCCCACTGGAAGCCTTGGCTGTGGCCTTCGGCTTGTTCACGGGTTTCGTAGGTTTCACCTTGGCCTTGGTCTTCGCATGCTCCTCTTCCTCGTTCACAGCCATAGCTGCAAGCTTTTGAATCTTTCGAGTCATGCCGAAAGCCCGGGCGGTGCTGGAAAGCAGCAGTCGATGAAGTCACTAGAGCAAAATGCTTTGCATCAGGCATAGCAGCATCTTTGGAGCAATGGATATCCTGGACTGAATCCTACAAACAAAGCGAAATTTGCGTAACATCACGAAGACAGCCCTTTCAGGCCTGCTGGTCTCTTTGGAGTTCAGTAGCTCCGAGGTACATAAGCAGAAAAGCACTTTCCCGTTCTTCCTGGGGATTTCCCGGTCATGAGCCCGGAACTCCCGCACAAATCCCGGGTTTTTCCCGCCCTACCTTTTGGCACCGCGTTCGTCGTTTGCAACATTCGAAACTAGGTTAACTAGCATTAAAGAGCATCACCTACTTGCACTCTGTAGTTTCTAATTGAACACCATTTGAAGTACGCTCGCAGCACACACTGCGCAGGTAGGGCGCGTAGAGAGGTCATTTGGCAGTAAGCTTGTGAAACGGGCAGCCTAGGACTGCACAGCGGAAAAACCTTGGTGGCCTGGATTCCACCTTGGCTGCAGAGCATTGCGGGACTCGGCGTGAATGTCAGGGGAGCGAATTCACCCAATCATTTATGGTTGATATGTCGAGGCTCTCCCTGGAGCTCTTTAACTCCCTTACGACCACTGAAAACCCTGAAACCCCACGCACCTATAGCTTGGAATAGATGTACTGCACCTGTAGCAAGACGGAAACCCCAACAGCAAAGTCCAGACATAAAAACCACCGCCAAGGCCTAAATCGTTCATCAACATGGGAAACCTATATGAGCCCCTGAACCCATAGATGATCTGATGCCTGAACCTAATCCCATACAAAAGCGATCCGGGGCCACAAGCTGCAACGAGGGTGGCAGAATTTGTTTCAAGTACAACAGACCACGGTCAGTCGACATGAGGAACCCTAGTTAATTCCTTCACTACAGCACGGTTGTTCCCAGACCTTCCAAAATCCCTTAATTAAGGAATATACCTTAAATCTTATTAGGGACCCTATTATAATTTAAGGTATATTCCTTAATTAGGGGATTTGGGAAGGTCTGGGTGATTAAAGCACGAGATCACACAGACGACCTCAACCTCTGAAGTACAAAGCTGTAGGGTCGCTGGACCATTGAAGAGTTGAATATCTTAGTCTGAGCGTTCAAAGTTCCGACTCCGACACCTGGATTGCTCGACTCGTGATTATACATCTATGGAAAACCGTCCCATTCAGAACGAGCCCCAAGACAGGAACCTACATGAGTTACAAGCAGCAAAAGCCCAATTCAACAGAGCTTGTTGCGTACATGTTTACGATTTCTTCGGGTTCCAGGATCCAGTTTGAGGCCCCGGGTTTTGACGAGGTGTTAGAATGCAGGGTTTGGGCTTCAGGGGGTTCAACATGTAGCAATCGAGCGGGCTTTGTTCAAGGGCTTCCAAGTTGGGAATCCAACCAAGCCCGCCCGGCCACGGCTTGGGTTAGTGGGATGTTCCAAGGGTTTGCTCAGGAACCAATTACCCGTTAGGACAGACAAGCTCTATCCTGCGTACCTACTTGGGCTGTGTAGCAGGTTTAGGATCTTGGGCTAGGCAGCAGTAAACCTACAATCGATGCTACGTTAATCTTTATTTCCCCCCAAGTTACCTGCCTATTGACCTACCCAATCACACATATGATTTGCCTACCTAGCGCTACCCACCT